ACTGTACACTTGTTCACTAAGAGGCCCCCTACCACTGTGTAAAATATAATTCACTTTTACTGTAGAAATTCATAGAAAATTGGGGTCAAAGTGTAGGATTTTGGCCCCAAAGGCACTTTTTAAAAATTATTTTAAAAGAAGTCTAAAAAAGTTCCCTGACTACTTTTACTGCACACTTGTTCACTGTGATGCCCTCTACCAATGTGTAAAATATCCATCCATCCATCCATTTTCTTCCGCTTTATCCGTTACCGGGTCGCGGGGGCAGCAGTCTAAGCAGAGACGCCCAGACTTCCCTATCCACACACACTTCCTCCAGCTCGTCCGGGGGGACCCCAAGGCGTTCCCAGGCCAGCTGGGAGACACAGTCCCTCCAGCGTGTCCTAGGTTTTCCCCGGGGCCTCCTCCCGGTGGGACGTGCCCGGAACACCTCCCCAGGGAGGCGTCCAGGAGGCATCCGGAACAGATGCCCGAGCCACCTCAACTGGTTCCTCTCGACGTGGAGAAGCAGCGGCTCTACTCCGAGCTCCTCACCCTATCTCTAAGGGAGCGCCCAGCCACTCTTCGGAGGAAGTTAATTTCGACCGCTTGTATCCGCGATCTCGTTCTTTCGGTCATTACCCAAAGCTCATGACCATAGGTGAGGGAGGGAACGAAGATTGACCGGTAAGTAGAGAGCTTTGCCTTTCGGCTCAGCTCCCTCTTTACCACAACGGTCCGATACAGCGACCGCATCACTGCGCACGCTGCACCGATTCGCCTGTCAATCTCACGCTCCATTCTTCCCTCACTCGTAAACAAGACCCCGAGATACTTGAACTCCTCCACTTGAGGAAGGACCTCTCCACCCACCTGTAGAGGGCAAGGCACCTTTTTACGGTCGAGCACCATGGCCTCGGATTTGGACGTGCTGATTCTCATCCCAGCCCTTCACACTCGGCTGCAAACCGCCCCAGTGCATGCTGCAGGTCCTGGTTTGTTGGAGCCAACAGGACAACATGGTCTGCAAACAGCAGAGATTCATCTCTGCTGTTTGCAGACCATGTGGTCTCCGAACCGGACCCCCTCTGACCCCTGGCTGCGCCTAGAAATTCTGTCCATAAACACAGTGAACAGAACCGGTGACAAAGGGCAGCCCTGTCGGAGGCCAACATTCACCGGGAACAGGTCTGACTTACTCCCGGCAATGCGAATACAGCTCTGGCTCCGGTCATACAGGGATCGGATGGCCCTCAGCAGAGGACCCCGGACCCCGGACCCCGTACTCCCGGATAACCCCCCAAAGGACACAGAGATACACACACACACACACACAGAGATACACACACACACACACACACACATTTATACTTGCTTTTTATTATTACAAATGTTATTTTATTTTAGTTCAGAGTTATTGTTCATGTGCTGTGTGCGTCTCATTCCTACAGGGCTGGACCGTAGGGCTGAAACAACTAATCGATTAATCGACGACTAATCGATTATTGAAATAGTCGACAACTATTTTAGTAATCGATTAATCGTTTTCTGGTTCACACGGACTCAAACAGAGCAAAAATGACATGAAAATGTAGTATTTTTGATTAAAACCGACTTTGTTTTTATAATTTCATGAATATCTGTCTGTCTCATCCAATCAGAGCAGAATTAGCACAAAGAGCCTGTTACAAACATTTACTTTAAGTTTACGCCTCAATACGTCCTCGAGTGTTGCCACTTTAGCTTTTTGTGATGAAAAAATAAATTTGTTCTACACAATTCACAGCCAAGCGATTACTCGATTAATCGTAAAAATAATCGATAGATTAATCGATTACAAAATAATCGTTAGTTGCAGCTCTACTGGACTGACCATGGGGCTGGACCGGGCTGGTCAGTCCAGCCCTGTACTGTCCCATGGTCAGTCCAGCCCGGTACTGTCCCATGGTCAGTCCAGCCCGGTACTGTCCCATGGTCAGTCCAGCCCGGTACTGTTCCATGGTCAGTCCAGCCCTGTACTGTCCCATGGTCAGTCCAGCCCGGTACTGTCCCATGGTCAGTCCAGCCCGGTACTGTTCCATGGTCAGTCCAGCCCTGTACTGTCCCATGGTCAGTCCAGCCCCATGGTCAGTCCAGCCCTGTACTGTCCCATGGTCAGTCCAGCCCGGTACTGTTCCATGGTCAGTCCAGCCCTGTACTGTCCCATGGTCAGTCCAGCCCCATGGTCAGTCCAGCCCTGTACTGTCCCATGGTCAGTCCAGCCCGGTACTGTCAGTACCGGGCTGGACTGACCATGGGGCTGGAATGGGCTGGACTGACCATGGACCAGGGCCGGAGTGGGACAATTTTTTGGCCCGGGAATTGTGGGTCAGACCGGCTCTTCTGATAAAGTGGTCTATCAAAAAAACTGAACTGCTGTTGTAATATCCATAACAACCAGCAGGGGGCCTAAAATCACGTTTTATAAATGTCTAGACTAGTGCGATTCAAATGATTCTTGTTCACTCGTTTAGACTTCTCAGAGTTTGTCACAAAATAACTCAGTAATGCATTTGAATAAATCATGATATTTGAATATTCTAGACTTATGTGGATATAAAAAGCATGAATTTCACAAATTTTAGAACAATATCAATTTTCATTCAAATAATTGTTATTCCCAAAGATTTGGCTGCATTTTTTTTATATATATAATACATATATATATATATATAAATATATATATATATATAATACATTGAATTGACTCAAAACCATTAAACTATTATCCTTTCAAGACTAAACAAAAACAAAGACTAAACTAAGACCTAAATAGATATAAACAGTACTTGCTATAACTTTAAACAAAACCAACATTAATCTGAACGTACTTTAATGTTGTCCCAGGGGAGCACTAAAGGAAAACTAAATGTGAACCTGTCTCAAGACGAGAAAACACAAACTGCACAGTATTTAAATCAAACAAACCCAAACTAACAAGAGCAAAATGAAGCACATTAAAACATGAGTAAACTCTGTAGAACTTGTTTATGATGTTATTATCCAACGACAAAGGATGTCTTTTCTATTGACATTAAAATAAATGCTTTTGACACAAACACACAAAATATTCAACTGTTACTTTCCTAATGTACAAAGAAGTTAAAATGTAATTTATGCCATATACATAATACATTATGAAATAAATTAATTCATGTCCGTAAAAGGCTTAGTCAAATTTGATTAAAAATACAATTTTCTTTTTGGTTTTTCCCTGCCCATTCCTGAGGCTCTTCATTAATATGAACGAACGAGTGTTGTGTCTGACGACCTAAGAAGCACTCATTGTTATTAACAGAGTGCTAATCATTTAGGGAATCACGTCATGTTTTGCCACAGTGTTTTGCTAGCTTACCGCGGTCTGATGCCTCTTCATCAAGCACTTTTTCTAGAAAAAAACTACCAACTTTGCACATTTGGCTGCTTCAGTTTCAAGAGCTTTTCTTTTTTTATTCTAATCTTTTCTGCTCCGCCCTTGATTTTGTTCCTTTCCATTTTAAAAACACTAGCGTTGGACAGATGTCATGTCAGTGAGTAACTGCGCTTGCTTCAGTTCTATCTGTCATTCAACCTGATCTCGCTTAGTCCCGCCTACAATCTACAGACAACCAATCAGGCCGTAGCAGAACACATAGCAACCAATGAAAGCGACCAAATGAGACCAGCCAGAAGTGTGTGTGCTGTTTACGAGAGAGAAGAGAGAAAGAGAGAAAAAGAGAGAGAAAGAGAGAGAAAGAGAGCGAAAGAGAGAGAAAGAGAGAAAGAGAGAGAGAGAGAAAGAGAGAGAGAGAGAGAAAGAGAGAGAGAGAGAGAGAGAGAGATCCGAGAAAGGCAGTGAGCAGCGGTGTCAGGAAAGCACGGCCGGCCAAGTCCAACCAGCAACATATAACAACCAGCAACATATAACAACCAGCCCACCGGCCCTTAGCCCAAACGGCCCACCAGGAAACCTCCCGGCTCTCCCGATTAGCCACGCCGGCACTGGGCTGGACTGACCATAGGACACTACCGGGCTGGACTGACCATGAGGCAGTACCGGGCAATGCCCAAAGAGCACCCATATTTGGGCCTGTCAGCCTCATACAAAGAAAATGTTTGTGAAAGGTGTAAACCCGTTGATAAATGTCCAAGGGGCGCGTGACCCCGGGGCACTTGTTATTTGCTGTGTGAACTCAACGGGTCTGCTTCCTCGTGCAGCGTTCTGACCCCGGGCAGCTGCGGCCACTATTAATGACTTGTTTATTTGTGTCCAGCGGCTGTAAGACTGCATGAATCCTGATCCTCTACATCAGGGGTGCTCACACTTTTTCAGCATGCGAGCTACTTATAAAATGATCAAGTCAAAATGATCTACCTACTACCAAAATGCAAAACATATATTTCTTTCTAAATATATTGAGGATTCTTTAAATCTACAATGTATGTTGATGTACATGCAAAACCGCATGATTTATGAAATCATTTACATTTAGGCACCGCCTCTGGCGGGCATCCAGGATTCATAGAGCCGCAGTTTTATTCGTAACTTTCGTTCTGTAGCGGCACTTGCAGTCATAGTAGAAACTCAGGGTGAAGACGTGTTATTATAGATCCATGGTGAAGACATATGTTTACAAGCATTGACCCCAGTCCTCAGCCCTGGTTTGATCCTGGTTTAGCTCCTGTTTTGGTTATTTTCGAGCGTGCGTGATCACTCCGCTGCAGCAGAGAACAGTTTTTAAGGCAGTATGATCCATGCTTCTATGATCAGAGGTTGCACGTTTTGTTTGTTGTTGTTGTTTTGGGGGCATACTGTGGCGTGCAAAAACGCAAAACTCCGGTTATCTCTGTCCACACGCAAATGCATAAACGGATATTTTATTTATTTTTAATCTAATGCGATCTTCCAATACTACCTTTGCGATCGACTGGTAGATCGCGATCGACGTATTGAGCACCCCTGCTCTACAGTATGTGCTTCTGCAATAACCGTATCAATAACCCTAAATGTGAAAAATAATAACGCCCTGGCCATTTGTTGGTCCCAGTCCACTGCCACTGCCCCCTGAGGGGAGGGCCTGACCACTGCCCCCTGAGGGGAGGGCCTGACCACTGCCCCCTGAGGGGAGGGCCTGACCACTGCCCCCTGAGAGGAGGCCCTGACCACTGCCCCCTGAGGGGAGGGCCTGACCACTGCCCCCCTGGGGGGAGGGCCTGACCACTGCCCCCTGAGGGGAGGGCCTGACCACTGCCCCCTGAGAGGAGGGCCTGACCACTGCCCCCCTGGGGGGAGGGCCTGACCACTGCCCCCCTGAGGGGAGGGCCTGACCACTGCCCCCTGAGGGGAGGGCCTGACCACTGCCCCCCTGGGGGGAGGGCCTGACCACTGCCCCCCTGGGGGGAGGGCCTGACCACTGCCCCCTGAGAGGAGGGCCTGACCACTGCCCCCCTGAGGGGAGGGCCTGACCACTGTCCCCTGAGAGGAGGGCCTGACCACTGCCCCCCTGAGGGGAGGGCCTGACCACTGCCCCCCTGAGGGGAGGGCCTGACCACTGTCCCCTGAGAGGAGGGCCTGACCACTGCCCCCCTGAGGGGAGGGCCTGACCACTGCCCCCTGAGGGGAGGGCCTGACCACTGCCCCCTGAGGGGAGGGCCTGACCACTGCCCCCTGAGAGGAGGCCCTGACCACTGCCCCCTGAGGGGAGGGCCTGACCACTGCCCCCCTGGGGGGAGGGCCTGACCACTGCCCCCCTGGGGGGAGGGCCTGACCACTGCCCCCCTGGGGGGAGGGCCTGACCACTGCCCCCTGAGGGGAGGGCCTGACCACTGCCCCCTGAGGGGAGGGCCTGACCACTGCCCCCCTGGGGGGAGGGCCTGACCACTGCCCCCCTGGGGGGAGGGCCTGACCACTGCCCCCTGAGAGGAGGGCCTGACCACTGCCCCCCTGAGGGGAGGGCCTGACCACTGTCCCCTGAGGGGAGGGCCTGACCACTGTCCCCTGAGGGGAGGGCCTGACCACTGTCCCCTGAGGGGAGGGCCTGGCCACTGCCCCCCTGGGGGAGGGGTCTACTCTGGGTCTGAGAGAACGTTCAGTGCTCAGTGTTTCAGTGTGTGCTCCTCTAAAGACTGAAGGTTGAGAAACTAATGAGATCACATGACCTTTGTGTGTGTTTTACGCCAGTGTTTGTGTGTGTGTGTATCTGTGTGCGTGTCTGTGTGTGTGTCTGTGTGTGTGTGTGTGAGTGTGTATCTATGTGTGTATCTGTGTGTGTGTGTGTGTCTGTGTGTGAGTGTGTATCTATGTGTGTATCTGTGTGTGTATCTGTGTGTGTGTCTGTGTGTGTGTGTGTGTATGTGTGTGTCTGTGTGTGTATCTGTGTGTGTGTCTGTGTGTCTGTGTGTGTGTGTGTGTGTGTACATACGGTGATAATGTCCAGGATACTGAGCAGACTGTGGACACTGTCTCCGGCCAGAACGTCCTTCACCACAGCCTCTGTACCGTCCTGAGGAGACACACACAGTCAGAAAGAGACACACACACACACACACACACACTCACACTCACAGTCACCACAGACACACACACACACACACAGACACACACACACTCACACACACACACACACACACACTCACACTCTCGTGGATACACAGCTCCAGGTGGCCCTCCTGAACCACATAGATGCTGTCGTCAGTGTCTCCGGGCCGGAACAGCGCCTCCCCCTGGTGAAGCTGGATCGACACCATGTGACGGCAGAGCTCCAGGAACAATGGCTTCTCAAAGTGTCCTAGGACCCTGAGAGAGACACCGTGAGAGAGACACCGTGAGAGAGACACCATGAGAGAGACACCATGAGAGAGACACCATGAGAGAGAAACCATGAGAGAAACACCATGAGAGAGACACCATGAGAGAGACACCATGAGAGAAACACCATGAGAGAGACACCATGAGAGAGACACCATGAGAGAAACACCATGAGAGAAACACCATGAGAGAGACACCATGAGAGAGAGACCATGAGTGAGACAACATGAGAGAGACACCATGAGAGAGAGACCATGAGAGAGACACCATCAGAGAGAGACCATGAGAGAGACACCATGAGAGAGACACCATGAGAGAAACACCATGAGAGAAACACCATGAGAGAAACACCATGAGAGAGACACCATGAGAGAAACACCATGAGAGAGACACCATGAGAGAGACACCATGAGAGAGACACCATGAGAGAAACACCATGAGAGAGACACCATGAGAGAGACACCATGAGAGAGACACCATGAGAGAAACACCATGAGAGAAACACCATGAGACACCATGAGAGAGACACCATGAGAGAAACACCATGAGAGAAACACCATGAGAGAAACACCATGAGAGAAACACCATGAGAGAAACACCATGAGAGAGACACCATGAGAGAAACACCATGAGAGAAACACCATGAGAAACACCATGAGAGAAACATCATGAGAGAAACACCATGAGAGAAACACCATGAGAGAGACACCATGAGAGAGACACCGTGAGAGAGACACCGTGAGAGAGACACCGTGAGCAAGACACCGTGAGAGAGACACCATGAGAGAAACACCATGAGAGAAACACCATGAGAGAGACACCATGAGAGAAACACCATGAGAGAAACACCATGAGAAACACCATGAGAGAAACATCATGAGAGAAACACCATGAGAGAAACACCATGAGAGAAACACCATGAGAGAGACACCATGAGAGAGACACCATGAGAGAGACACCGTGAGAGAGACACCGTGAGCGAGACACCGTGAGAGAGACACCGTGAGAGAGACACCATGAGACAGACACCATGAGAGAGACACCATGAGAGAAACACCCTGAGAGAGACACCATGAGAGAGACACCATGAGAGAAACACCATGAGAGAAACACCCTGAGAGAGACAGCATGAGAGAGACACCATGAGAGAGACACCATGAGAGAGACACCGTGAGAGAGACACCATGAGAGACACCATGACAGAGACACCGTGAGAGAAACACCATGAGAGAAACACCATGAGAGAAACACCCTGAGAGAGACACCATGAGAGAGACACCATGAGAGAGACACCATGAGAGAGACACCATGAGAGAAACACCGTGAGAGAAACACCATGAGAGAAAAAGAAACACCATGAGAGAGACACCATGAGAGAAACACCATGAGAGAAACACAGTGAGAGAAACACCATGAGAGAAACACCATGAGAGAGACACCATGAGAGAAACATGCTGAGAGAAACACCATGAGAGAAACACCATGAGAGAGACACCATGAGAGAAACACCATGAGAGAGACACCATGAGAGAAACACGCTGAGAGAAACACCATGAGAGAAACACCATGAGAGACACCATGAGAGAAACACCATGAGAGAAACACCATGAGAGAAACACCGTGAGAGAGACACCATGAGAGGAACACGCTGAGAGAAACACCATGAGAGAAACACCATGAGAGAGACACCATGAGAGAAACACCATGAGAGAAACACCATGAGAGAAACACCATGAGAGAAACACCATGAGAGAAACACCGTGAGAGAAACACCGTGAGAGAAACACAGTGAGAGAAACACCGTGAGAGAAACACCATGAGAGAAACACCATGAGAGAAAGACCATGAGAGAAACACCGTGAGAGAAACACCATGAGAGAAACACCATGAGAGAAACACCGTAGAGAAACACCGTGAGAGAAACATCGTGAGAGAAACACCATGAGAGAAACACCATGAGAGAAACACCATGAGAGAGACACCATGAGGGAGACACCGTGAGAGAGACACCGTGAGAGAAACACCATGAGAGAAACACCGTAGAGAAACACCGTGAGAGAAACACCATGAGAGAAACACCATGAGAGAAACACCATGAGTGAAACACCATGAGAGAAACACCATGAGAGAAACACCATGAGAGAAACACCGTGAGAGAAACACCGTGAGAGAAACACGTGAGAGAAACACAGTGAGAGAAACACCGTGAGAGAAACACCATGAGAGAAACACCATGAGAGAAACACCGTAGAGAAACACCGTGAGAGAAACACCGTGAGAGAAACACCGTGAGAGAAACACCATGAGAGAAACACCATGAGAGAGACACCGTGAGGGAGACACCGTGAGAGAGACACCGTGAGAGAAACACCATGAGAGAAACACCGTAGAGAAACACCGTGAGAGAAACACCGTGAGAGAAACACCGTGAGAGAAACACCATGAGAGAAACACCATGAGAGAGACACCATGAGAGAGACACCATGAGGGAGACACCGTGAGAGAAACACCATGAGAGAAACACCGTGAGAGAAACACCGTAGAGAAACACCGTGAGAGAAACACCGTGAGAGAAACACCGTGAGAGAAACACCATGAGAGAAACACCATGAGTGAAACACCATGAGAGAAACACCATGAGAGAGACACCATGAGAGAAACACCATGAGAGAAACACCATGAGAGAGACACCATGAGAGAAACACCATGAGAGAAACACCGTGAGAGAAACACCGTGAGAGAAACACCGTGAGAGAAACACAGTGAGAGAAACACCGTGAGAGAAACACCATGAGAGAAACACCATGAGAGAAAGACCATGAGAGAAACACCGTGAGAGAAACACCATGAGAGAAACACCATGAGAGAAACACCGTAGAGAAACACCGTGAGAGAAACATCGTGAGAGAAACACCATGAGAGAGACACCATGAGAGAGACACCATGAGGGAGACACCGTGAGAGAGACACCGTGAGAGAAACACCGTAGAGAAACACCATGAGAGAAACACCGTAGAGAAACACCGTGAGAGAAACACCGTGAGAGAAACACCATGAGAGAAACACCATGAGTGAAACACCATGAGAGAAACACCATGAGAGAAACACCATGAGAGAAACACCATGAGAGAGACACCATGAGAGAAACACCATGAGTGAAACACCATGAGAGACACCATGAGAGAAACACCATGAGAGAGACACCATGAGGGAGACACCGTGAGAGAAACACCATGAGAGAAACACCGTAGAGAAACACCGTGAGAGAAACACCATGAGAGAAACACCGTAGAGAAACACCGTAGAGAAACACCGTGAGAGAAACACCGTGAGAGAAATACCGTGAGAGAAACACCATGAGAGAAACACCATGAGTGAAACACCATGAGAGAAACACCATGAGAGAAACACCATGAGTGAAACACCATGAGAGAAACACCATGAGAGAAACACCATGAGAGAGACACCATGAGAGAAACACCATGAGTGAAACACCATGAGAGAGACACCATGAGTGAAACACCATGAGAGAAACACCAGAGGAGACAACCCTCTCCTTCAGCTGTAGTTTGTTCATTGCTATTCACCCGCTGTCTCATCATCTCCTATATCCCCTGAGGAGCTCGTCCCGGGACAGTGTGATGTGAGCTACAGCAGACACAGAGGGTCTTGGGGTCGATTCCACCTCCAGGCCTTTCTGAGTGGAGTTTGCATGTTCTCCCTGTGTCCAAGTGCTCCAGTTTCCCCTACCACTAAAAACATGTACTATGTATGTGAGGAGGGGGTGAGGAGGGGGTGAGGAGGGGGTGAGGAGGGGGTGAGGAGGGGTGAGGGTCTGACCTGACGTTCTTGAGCATGTAGAGCACCTCAGAGGGCAGGTGAGGGGGTGAGGAGGGGTGAGGAGGGGTGAGGGTCTGACCTGACGTTCTTGAGCATGTAGAGCACCTCTGAGGGCAGGTGAGGGGGTGAGGAGGGGTGAGGGTCTGACCTGACGTTCTTGAGCATGTAGAGCACCTCAGAGGGCAGGTGAGGGGGTGAGGAGGGGTGAGGAGGGGTGAGGAGGGGTGAGGGTCTGACCTGACGTTCTTGAGCATGTAGAGCACCTCTGAGGGCAGGTGAGGGGGTGAGGAGGGGTGAGGGTCTGACCTGACGTTCTTGAGCATGTAGAGCACCTCAGAGGGCAGGTGAGGGGGTGAGGAGGGGTGAGGAGGGGTGAGGGTCTGACCTGACGTTCTTGAGCATGTAGAGCACCTCAGAGGGCAGGTGAGGGGGTGAGGAGGGGTGAGGAGGGGTGAGGGTCTGACCTGACGTTCTTGAGCATGTAGAGCACCTCAGAGGGCAGGTGAGGGGGTGAGGAGGGGTGAGGAGGGGTGAGGGTCTGACCTGACGTTCTTGAGCATGTAGAGCACCTCAGAGGGCAGGTGAGAGCTCTGGACGTCGAACTCCGTCAGGTCGGCCTCCAGCAGAGACGGAGGCGGCTCTTTAGGCTGCAGCACCGTGGGCTCTCTGCGGAGGCGAAGGATCCTACAGCAACACAACACCAGAGAGAGCACACACAACACCAGAGTGAGCACACACAACACCAGAGAGAGAACACACAACACCAGAGTGAGCACACACAACACACAGAGACACACACAACACCAGAGTGAGCACACACAACACCAGAGTGAGAACACACAACACACACAGAGACACACACAACACCAGAGTGAGAACACACAACACACACAGAGACACACACAACACACAGAGACACACACAGTACGTACTTTCGGGCGATGCTCAGGACTTTGGGTCTTTTCCTCGTCTTCTGTCGAGACGCAGAGTTGGACGGAGGAGGAGACGACAAAGTCTGGACCTGGACACACACAAATATGCATCACACAGAGACGCACACTCACACACACACTCACACACACACTCACTCACACACACACTCACACACACACTCACACACACACACACTCACACACACACTCACTCACACACACACTCACACACACACTCACACACACACACACTCACACACACACTCACTCACACACACACACTCACTCTGCGATCTCTCGCCCCCAGGTGGGGGTGGACCCGGAATAAGAATTACCCAATGTTTCGTACGACGACTTCTTTCCATCAGTACATGAGTACATGAGTACATGAGTACATGAGTACATGAGTACATGAGTACATGAGTACATCAGTCTATGGCTGTAGCCAACGCAGCCGGATACAACTTTAGACATTACCCTGGTCCTCACAGTCTCAGACCCTGGTCCTCACAGTCTCAGACCCTGGTCCTCACAGTCTCAGACCCTGGTCCTCACAGTCTCAGACCCTGGTCCTCACAGTCTCAGACCCTGGTCCTCACAGTCTCAGACCCTGGTCTTCACAGTCTCAGACCCTGGTCCTCACAGTCTCAGACCCTGGTCCTCACAGTCTCAGACCCTGGTCCTCACAGTCTCAGACCCTGGTCCTCACAGTCTCAGACCCTGGTCCTCACAGTCTCAGACCCTGGTCCTCACAGTCTCAGACCCTGGTCCTCACAGTCTCAGACCCTGGTCTTCACAGTCTCAGACCCTGGTCCTCACAGTCTCAGACCCTGGTCTTCACAGTCTCAGACCCTGGTCCTCACAGTCTCAGACCCTGGTCCTCACAGTCTCAGACCCTGGTCCTCACAGTCTCAGACCCTGGTCCTCACAGTCTCAGACCCTGGTCCTCACAGTCACAGACCCTGGTCCTCACAGTCTCAGACCCTGGTCCTCACAGTCTCAGACCCTGGTCCTCACAGTCTCAGACCCTGGTCCTCAAAGTCCCAGACCCTGGTCCTCACAGTCTCAGACCCTGGTCCTCACAGTCTCAGACCCTGGTCCTCACAGTCTCAGACCCTGGTCCTCACAGTCTCAGACCCTGGTCCTCACTAATGCATTTCTTTGATTCCTTTTTAGGTATTTTCTTAAAAATCAACATGCGTTAGAGAAATATATTTTAACAAAATAGAGACTCCATAAGTTCCACTTGGTACGAGCAGTTGCAGTTGCACACGCCACAACTGCACACGCCACAACTGCACACGCCACAACTGCACACGCCACAACCGCACACGCCACAACCGCACACGCCACAACCGCACACGCCACAACCGCACACGCCACAACCGCACACGCCACAACCGCACACGCCACAACCGCACACGCCACAGAAAAAGAGCATTTTGACTCAGAATCATTGATGATTTACACGGTTCTTAAAGGAGATATTTACATCCTGTCCCTCAGAGGAATTTCACGCCACTGGTGACGTCAGCTGCAACCCAGCTATAGCCGCTAACAGCTAGCATCCGCCTGTAGTTGATAGCCGCTAACAGCTAGCATCCCTCTGTAGTTGACATCAGCTAACAGCTAGCATCCCTCTGTAGTTGACATCAGCTAACAGCTAGCATCCCTCGGTAGTTGATAGCCGCTAACAGCTAGCCTCCCGCTGTATCATAGATAGATAGAGACATAGATAGATACTTTATTGATCCCTGTAGGAGAAATGCAGGAGTCCAGTAGCAGCAGAAACACATCCACACAAACATACAAAACCTGTGTCTTTGACCTTTGACCTTTGAATAGGTCTAGATGAAGAGCACTCACCTTCCTCATGATCTTTCGTCCATAAAACATGACTTTGTCTCTTTTCCTGAAGCGGTAATGAGGTCCAGCCTCCATCTCTGCAAACACCAGTGTGTTAGAGTGTGTGTGTGTGTGTGTGTGTGTGTGTGTGTGTGTGTGTGTGTGTGTGTGTGTGCACTTGTTTTCAACTCCTGGTGGGGTCCATAACCTGAGATTCCACTCACGTCATGGGGACTGGTTTTACGTGGTGGGGCCCGAACACCGGACCCCACTGGTCCAAGCTTAATAATCAATGGGTAATGCTTTTCTAACGGTCCTTATGCAGTCTCTGTAAAAATATGGAAAGGACCCCTGGAGGTTTACTTTCCTGAAAAAAGTGTGTTATGTGTCGGAACCCTGGTGGTGGGTTGCGGGATATCAAGGAGGGGCACACTGGGGCAATTTCAGTCCAGCAGGCTGGAGCCAATCATGGAGCAGCACAACAGAGGCTGGAGCCAATCATGGAGCAGCACAACAGAGGCTGGAGCCAATCATGGAGCAGCACAACAGAGGCTGGAGCCAATCATGGAGCAGCACAACAGAGGAAATCAGGTGTCAGGCTAGAAAAAGGTGCAAGTGTGTGGTTCATTAGGCTGCAGCCAATCACAGAGCAGCACACTGAAGCGCACGCTTACAAACCACTGGTAAGTGCTGACTACAAGTCATGACTTCAAATTGTTATATAGAATGATTACAAATTATTTGTTGTTTGTGCAGCTTAGTCAAGAGTCCCTAATTGATGAAGTCGACTCAGATTCTGACGATTTAACTGTCAAGAAGAAACCTGTAAAAAAGTATGGAAAAAGAAAAATCAAAAACACTTTTCTTCAAGACTCGGAAAGTGACGAACCAAAGGCAAATAAGATTGTTATCATGCAGCTGCAAAAGAAGAAAAATGGGGGGCGAGTATACAGCAAGAGACACTTCTGCCTCTACTGTTCAATGTCCTGCCACAAAATGTCCCGTCATTTGACTAGAAAACATGGAAATGAAAGTGACGTAGCCAGAGCATTGGCTCTACCTGTGAAATCTAAAGCACGTAAACTTCAGTTTGATTTGATCAGGAATAGTGGAAACCGTGAGCACAATTTTGAGGTTTTAAAGGCCGGCATTGGAACTTTAGTCCCAGCTAAACAGCCAAATTGCCCAGTTAAATCCAGTGAGTTTTTGCACTGTATAGACTGTGGGGCATTGCTTAAGCGAAAGTCGCTGTGGAGGCATGTGGCCAGGTGCCGGCTTTCACAGAAAGATGCCCAGGCTAAACCAGGTAGAAGTAGGGTCCAGTCCCTCTGCTCCCTAGCCCAGCCTGTACCGGAGGGCATCAGCAAAAAGCTGTGGTCTTTAATTTCGGCAATGCATCAGGATGAGGTCACGGGTGTTGTCAAAGCAGAAAAGGGGATTCTGAGACTCGGAGAGCACCTGTACTTAAAACACGGGCATGATAAGACAAAGCATGATTACATTAGGCAGAAAATGAGAGAAGTCGGTAGGTTAATTAACGAAGCAAAAACCGCAGGGAAACTGAAAACAATTAAGGATTTCTTTATTCCTTCCAACTTTAACCATGTGATTGATGCAGTCAGGTCTGTGGCTGGATATGATGAGGAAACAAATCAATACAAGACTCCATCCTTGGCCCTCAAACTCGGCCATAGCCTCAGAAAGCTAGCAGATATTCTTGAATGTGACTCAAAAATGGAGCATTGTGTTGATGAACTATTTATTAAAAACCTCCAACGAAGCCGGCTGCTTTTTGAGAAGAGGTGGGACGTCTGTGTTTCTTCTGCTGCCCTACAGACCCTCCGGCAAGCCAAGTGGAACACTCCGGACCTGCTCCCTCTGACTGAGGACGTTAGAGCCATGCATGCACATATTGAGGTATGTCGACCTGAATATGTGCAAACCCTAATAAGTGAGCCAACGTCTAAGCATTGGTCTAAACTGGCAGTTTTGACTCTTTGTGAGGTCATCATTTTCAATCGAAGAAGGAAGGTGAGGTTTCAAAGATGCCACTGACAGCCTTTACCTTAAGAAGTAAGACTGGGATCCATTCTGACATTGCTCTGGGACTGTCCCAACTTGAGAAAAAGCTGTGTCAGCATTTTCAACGCATTGAAATTAAAGGGAAAAGAAGTCGGAAAGTGCCGGTTCTTTTGACTCCTGAAATGATTGCTTCGATGGAGGTGCTGGTGGAGAACAGAAGGGCCTGTTCCATCTCTGACCATAACCCATACTTCTTTTCCCGCCCGGGCGCAGACACCCACATCAGGGGATCAGACTCCCTACGCCAGGTAGCCAAAGAATGTGGTGCGGTGCATCCAGAGATGCTATCCTCAACCAAACTTAGAAAGCACATAGCTACTATGTCTACAGTTCTCAATATGAAAGACAATGAGATGGACATACTTGCCAACTTCCTCGGCCATGACATTCGCATCCACAGGCAATATTACAGACTACCAGAGGGGACACTGGAGCTGGCCAAAATCAGCAAAGTGTTGATGGCCATGGAGCAGGGAAGAGTGACGGAATTCGAAGGAAAGAGCCTCGACCAGATACAAATTGAGCCTGAAGGTAATTCTTGATATTATTAAAATATGTATGATTTTTTTCCCCTAAAGGCCACTTGTATTTTTATTTTCTGTGCGACAGGGAGAGCAGTAGAGATCCTCTCACAAACGGACGGGCTAAAAGAAACTTCAAGCGGAGAACCTTCAACCATTCATCCAGATGCACCCCATGGTAGTGGCAGTGCCCCTTCTGGTAAGTGTACCAGGTGGGGGATTACAGCCAGGCTGCTTGGTCCTAACCCTGGGAGTGTATATTGCTAATATATTTTTATTTCTCTCCCTAGAACGTTAGAGAAAGCCATGGTCTGCATCTGAGGTGAAGGCTGTGGAGAAGACCATGACGCCTTTCCAGTGATGGGCAAGCTACTTGATTTGTGTAGTGAGCTAAGCTACAAGCTACTCTACAATAAATTCAGCTTCACTACACAGAAGCTACCACCCATACAAATGTAGCAAGCTAAGTTACAAAATTCTGTCAAAAGTAGCTTGCTATATAGAAGCTATTTTCAATTAAACAAACTGCAGTTCATGCAATTTTATATTTTCCTGCATTAACATGTTTGCTCATTTCTTATTTTTTGCACAATTCTTGAGTGTTTTATCCATGCCAAATGTGACATGTAAATTTCTCCTGTGTGAGATTAATAAAGCTTATCTTCTTATTTGAGATAAACTGGTCAGGCAGATAAAGGTTAAAATGCTGTAGATATTTATTGAACAATAGCCCAAAACACCAAAAACAACAAAGAGTAGGCATCTGAAAACATATTTCTTTTCGCTCATCTGGACTAGAGTGACGTACTTTTGGAGGTATATGGCCACGAGGTACAACACTTTGAGAGTCCTTATCATGGTCCCCTCCACCGCGGCGGCTCCTGGGCTCTCTGCCATGCTTTTGCTTCCCCCAGTAGCGCGCGCGCGGTGTATTGCACGTATGTGTGTCTATTTATTTGTTTAGTCTTTTGTCGTAGTATGAACATCACAAGGAAAAAAAGCTTGGGTGAGGCAGGCGGTATCTGTGCCTCACCGCTAGGGGTGATAGTGAGACATAACGTATACAGAGTTGCTAACAAACAATCAGCCAAAATGCTAATTTACTTTGCTGGAATTGGTATGATTTGGAATGAAGATTTTTTTTTCTCAAATGGACTTTCAAACAATGAAAGATTAATATAGACTGGGAGACCACCACTGGAACTTACGAGTTAGTCCGGGCTGCGCGGGAGGAGTTTGTTAATCTGTGTTTTATGTTTGAACATTGACGATACCGGCAAAGTAGTGCTTTTCCGAAAAACATTGATTCAAAAACATGCTCAAGAGTTCTGCAACTTGTTTAATTATTGTTTATGTTCCTCGCGTCTGATCTCTCCTCGCGTCTCTCTCTCCTCGCGTCTCCGTCTCTTTCTGCTACTCGCGGTCTCCGGTCTCTCTGCTCCTCTCTGTCTCTCATCTGCTCCTGCGTCTCCGTTCTCCTGCTCTCTCTGTTCTCTCTCTGCTCCTATCTCCTGCGTCTGCTCTCTCCTGGTCTCCGTCTCTCTTGCTCCTGCGTCTCCGTCTCTCAGCTCTCTCTGTCTCTCTTGCTCTCTCTCCTCGCGTCTCTCTCTCCTCGGTCTCTCGCACCTGCGCTTCTTAACGATGTGGTTTGATGCGGAGCAGAGTCAGCAGCTAGATATGTTGTGAGATTATTAAAAGAAGCTGGTTCTCTTATCTTTACAGTATATAAAGTTTGTGGATGTTTTCATTGCATTTGGTTGAATTAAATGCCTATTTTATTGAATAAGATTGTAAATCTGACTTTTAAAGGTCAGTGCCTCCCCAATCACAAACCTCACCGCACGTCCCTGGCGCGGCAAGTGTGTGCGTCTGTGTGTGGTGGCGCTTCGCTCGTGTGTGTGTGTCGTTACCAAGCCTGGACATGCGGATCAAGCATTCTGTCTATCTATATGTTTGTTGTTTATGGCTGCGACGGGGAGAAAAATGTTGTAATATATGAAATCAGAGATGTCCGTGAGAAATTAGCTTTGGCGGCCGCCTAAATAAAAGAATGTAATAATACATAGTGACTCTATGCAAAATAAATAAGCAATTGATGTCCAAAAATAGGAGTGGGAAGATTGGATGTTGGAAACGTATTTCTTAGCGTATTCCATCATCAGGGTTTTGCCTCAAGAGGATATCACCTTTCACTTTTATTTATTCCCTATTTTCTAGGACAAACATGTAAATGTACCATATCAAAAGAGCTAACATTATTTTAATTGGGGTGGTACATTTGGTCTTAAAATGATTATTTTTACAAATTAAGCTATAATCTGCAAAAAAACGTCGACTTCATCTTTTACCGTTTTTTGAGCAAATCTGTCATGAATGTGATTCATGCTATTCAATACAAAAAGACATAGCCCGGATCCTGAACCCGGGGTTCCTACATTGTAAGCGCACTAGTTTAGACCACTTGACCAGGGGTTCACACGATACAGGAGACAT